ACTGCATTATATCAAATGATTATCCTTAGCCTATATTTTTAGGAACTTGTTAGAGAATTCTATATCTGTAGATACACATATATACATTTTTTTATTTCACTATCATACATACTTGCAGCCTGTCATTTAATGAGAGTTCTGAGCCTGTAATGCTTAAGCCAGTGGTGGGATGTCAGAGTGCTGAAAGCAGTCTCTGACAGGTATGTTGTGGCGAATGGCAAGATAAATTCGGTGGTTGTGTGAAGTGCAAGTCTTGGAGCGATGCCCGCTCTTTTCACAAGCCAAAACCGCTTGTATTCAATGTAGAATCTCATTAGGAGAGAATCTGAGCTGATATCCACATCCTCTTCTTTTGTGAGAAACAAATCCATCCATCTGAAAATCTGAATTTCATGTCCTTATTTTCTTAAATAAAAAAAGATAATGTTATAAACTAACCCTTAAATTTAGTTTCCATTTTCACTGAAATTAATCAACTGCTTAGACAAAAGTTTCATCCCTCAAAACAAACCCCTTCTAAAGCGTTATGACCCCAGATTGGCAGCCACTGGCTTAAGTTGAGCAGACACAATGCGTCATGAATGTTTTAAGGGTAAACTGCCAAGTAGCATCTCCATGTTGAAGATACTGATCCTGGTGCAATGGCATAAATGGCCCTGTGTTATTCCAAATAATGGAGGAGTCCACAGACCTGCTTGAGGATGTCTGTGTCATAACTGAAGGAGTCTAAGTGCTGCAAAATCCAAGACGTGGCAAAAGGCTACATCTCTATTCACGTCCCCATGCAATCTTGTTCAACAAATCTGTCATGTTTGTGCTATCATATCAGCTATCAAGGACTGAAGACACAGCACATTTTTCAATTGCTGATCACCGTCACCAGCAGATGAAACTTCGTTTTAAGCAGCCTGTCTGTGCTTCCTTTTCTATCTGACAATACTGACAGGTACGCCATGCAAACTGTCGAAACTGCCCTGCTACTGCTTGAGTTTAGCTGGTGTGAAAGCAAAATTTAAAAAAAATAAAGCAATAATTGTGAGAGAGAATCATGATCTCAATTCTGAGTGAAAAACACAGCTTTATATTTTTAGCTCGGCCTGATCTACAGTTTAAAATCGAGCTGTTTAAAATCAAGTGTTGGATTTGACCTTTGCAGGTTCAGGTCTTTAAAAGCAGATAATCCCACCTGCAATGGACGAGACATTAAGCCTTGGGTTAGACTCAGTGAAGATTGTAAACTAAACATATTTAGGCTTTTGGACAAAGGAAGCAATTTCAACAATTCTGAACACTGTCAATCAGTCTTCTTTGAATCAAAAATGTTTGGGTTTCTTTTATTTTGTGGACTGTTGGCTGGAAAAAGGAGACTGTGGCTCAGTTATATGTGAATTCTTATGAGCTCCTTTGTTTCAGGCTTAAAGTAGTTTATTGAAGTCAGGCAAGTTGAAATAGTTAAACTGTATTTCTCTGACTCACTGACACTGACAGAGCTAGCAGGATTTAGTCATATTACGTATAAACAACAAAATCTTCCAACATAGAAACTTATGTTTACTAAATTGAACATACAATAATTCTATTAAGTCAATTCAGCATGTTTTAACTTCAAGTAAATTCACTATACAGTATTTATGTGATGTAGAATTTAATTAAGACTTTTTTAAGTCAATCTAACTGAATTAAGTAAGTATAACATTTCATTTCTTAAGAGTGGAGTGTAGCATACAGACACTGGAAATATAATTGTTTGTAAAATAACCTCTATTAAATGGGAAAACCATATAGCTCAAGTACTAGACTGTCATTTTCCAAATGTTTCATTTAATGTTAGAAACAGCTGAAAATACAGTGGCTCCAGCTTATTATTGTTCATTTAATCAGCGTCCCCTGTAAAAGAGTTACTCAGACGTCCAACGCCGGCCATTGTAAAATGAGTCTCATTAAGAAAATCAATTAAGGTGTGCCTTTGTTCCTTCCATGGAGGAGCTGGGGTGGGGGTTGTTTCTTACTATGCTCAGCCTCTTTGTTCTTTTTGTTTTAGCAGCTGTGCTGGTGTACAACTGTACCCTGAAGCCTCCATAGCTGTCAAATTGGCATCCGTCCACCTTCCTACCTCTCTCCACCACCTCCTCATTTATCTCCTGTTATTTCTGCCTCCCTTCCCCCCCTTCCTTTTTCCTCCCTGCACCCATCCAACTCCATCTCCATCTCTTGCCACTCCACCATCCCTCTGCCACCTCTTCCTCTACCCTCAAACCTCCTTTGCCACAAACCCTCTTCCCCATCCTCCTCCACACTTAACTTCTCCCCCACCACTGCTGTTGCCTTGCTGCATTGCTCTGAGACATTCTTATTCTACACCCATCTGAAGTAGGAACCACTCCCTTTCCCCACCCCTCTTGTCATTATATTTATTGGTTTCCATGGAAACTGATGCAGGATGGATGTCTATTATGATGATCCTTATTTGATGGGATTATTGTTCCTTAAATAGATGGGGGGCTGGAACTACTAGTCACAATCATCATCATCACCATCCCCAAAGGGGTTACTGCAATCTTCACCATCGCCACCTTCGCCCCACATGTCTATCACATGAAGTTCTGATTTGTTCGGTAGCCTGTTTGGTTACTGGGACAAACTGGCTGTATTGTACCACTATATCAAAAACTGAGTTTAGAGTATTTGGCTCAGGTGTATGTAGACTTAGAAGCTTTTTTTTTCTTGGATGGGGAAATAGTCTGATAGAGATTCCAGAAGATTCCTTTGCCCAGCCAAGAAATTGTTCAACACAAATGTCTCCTGAAAAACTTCAAATTGTTGAACTGAATAATTCTTCTCCTCTGTCCACTAAATCAAATAAGCATATTTCTACAATGGCAAATCATTCAGTAAAAGACTCTTTATAATGTTAGACATCATTACAGTTCCAATAAAGAAAAAGCAGAGCAATTTCAGAAAATAAAAGCATCAGAAAGTGAAGAGGCTACCAGTTAAGAAAGTAAAAAATGAAACACAAGTGTGAAACAAAACTCAGCCAACATGCCCATCTCTCCATGTTATTTATAGTCTCCATTTAACCAAACCTACATGTGTATGTACTGTGGAAGGAATCTGAAACCCACACAGACATGGGACGAACCTGTAAACGTCACACAGAAATGCCTCAGCTCACCAGTGGTTTCGATTCCAGTAAACCCATTTAAAATGCAGCTTTGTGTGAGCACACACACTGAGCATCAGATGTCTCAGATGTTTACAGTGACAACATTGTGCAGTTGAGGTGGGTGACAGTGGGTCATAGCCATAATTATCACAGGTCAGCACAGTTGTGTTCTGCTGTCAGGCATCAATGGAAAAGCATATACGCATTCCACAACATGTAATAGCTAAAGTGGAGCTGGAACATAATGCCAGTGACAGGAGCCATTTTTAAACACACCCTTACACATCAATCTGACCTACAGTTGATAACATGGAAAGAAATTTAAGGCACTGACTGTCAGTCAGGCCATATAACAGCCGCTCAGTATTCAGTCTGACAATGCCTTACAGTATTTCTGATTGCATCCATGTCTCACAGAGATCGATGAGGGCTGGAGGGAAGAGGAGAGGATCATTTCTGAACTCAGACAGAGGTGAAGATATTGATAAGAAGAAAGCCAGATGGGGTCAAGCACACACAAAAACACACACACACATACACTGCAAGGATTAAGCAGGCGCAGGCCGAGGAGCTCCACTGCAGAATATTGATTGCTGAGAAAACCAGCCATGAGGAGGTGGTGTGTGTGTGTGCTTTTGTGTCTGTGTGTTTGTGAGAAGGGTGGGGAGTATCACTGCTGAAACACACATACACTACTTGATGAGTACCATCTGTAGCATTGAGACAAAGACTGAATTCGCCAGTAGATCAGCAAGGTTTAGTACAGAAGATCTGGATGACCAACAAAGAAGGACAACCTTTGCTGGCAGCCAGACAGATAGATACAAAGACCTTCTGTCAGCGTCAGCAGGTTGTGGTCCGGTCTGTCTGTCAGGTTATAAAAAGCCTTGTACAGTATGGAGAGGAGACGGGCAGCCGTAATCAATAAGCTGCTACTGACCTTCACCGAACAGAGACGCAGAGAGAAATAATGTTTAGGATAACCATGACTGGTCACATGACAGAAGGAGTTTCATAAGCACTGATGGTTTCTGTCTCCACTTCCTGTTAGATGAACTGACGAATGTCATCATTGTCTCTGTGCTTCTGGCACAGCTGTTTGCATATTTTTTACTGCTATCCAGAAAAACATTGAGAGAAGAGAGAGAAGAGCGAGACAGAATGTAGCGGCAGTCACTGAGTGTGTGTTCTCCAGTGTACACAGACCAGTAGTTACTGAGCTCAAAACCCGTCTCACCACGAGCACTTTTATAGCAGAGCCTCTGGATTATGTTCTTTAAAATAAGTTATTTAATTTTGTCTGTATGAAGAGTGTTTTTGCTGCATTATCCACAAATCATTTAACATACGTTTGAGAGAGGCCAGTGATTTTATTTGATGCTTAAAGGAAAATGTTGAAAAGCAAAAACCACACTGCTAGAGTTTTGTTCAAAAGCATCATCTTTGGAAAAGGCTGTCTGCTTTATGCACAATTCACTACTTTACTTCAAAGAACCTGATTCAGAATGTAGGGTTTCATTCTTTAGTGGTGGTGGCCTGTCTCACTGTAATCAATCCACTAACACCAGTAACACAATATTACACTTTTTTTTTTTAAATATGATTATTATTTATTAGGTTTATTAAATTTCAGCTACATCCCACAACAAAAGTGATGTAATGGATGAGTATGGCGGCTGTTCAAATGTTCAATGAGATGTGTCAGGATTGACTCAACATGTCATGTCAGTAAAAACTGGACTAACAGAGTGGTCAAAAATGGAAAAAAAGATTCAGGTACATCTATACTGAAACGTGGAAAAAATGATACAGGCCTCAAAACTGATATTTTCACCTCCACTGTTATCCAGCAACCAACCGATCTGCTGCGGGAACCAGAAGAATGCTAACAAGAAAAGAAAAGCAGCATAATTAACTCATTTTTATTCTGTGGTCTCTACTCTTATTCAACAAAATAACAAAACAATGTGAACTAACAGGAGACAACACCAAAACATGGTTTAAAGGTTTCTGGTATCAGTAGTAGGGATGGACAATGATTTGCGAATGTTCGAAAAGTCAATAAAAAAAAACTAACATTTCATGTGACTGTGGTTTCGTCTTTATACAAAGAGCCACTGTTTTCTCTTGCTTTTACTGGCACCTTTAAAAAATGCAATAAGGTCAGTATATCATTTTACTACAGTGCCAAAAAAAACAGTAGAAACATGCAGAGACTACAGCCATCAAGAAAAATGGTCATAGTGCGACTGGGTAAACTATATGATGATAATGCATGTGAATGGCGCAGTTTCACAAGTGCTGAAAAGGTGTCTCTGACCAGAGATACATGGACAGCACTTGCAGCTGAATCCTATGTGACAGTCACCTACCATTATACAAGCTACTGGAAAATACAGAGTGCTGGTCCTCAGACTAAAGCATAGACAGAACGGCATACTGCTGAAAACCTGGCGAATGTGCTTTCCACCGCCACAGAACACTGGGGACTTACAGGTAAAGTCACAGCATGGGAGACAAGTGAATATCAAACAGCATTTTAGCTTGAAATGCCCATCCCTAATTAGTAGACAGATGTTGGAAAATCAAGCTGAACAAAATGAAACAAAGACTAACGCAGTCTAAACTAATGCTCAGATTCACCTACTGTATTCTTAAGGGTGTGCAATATATATTGTCTACGATATCTGTTCAAATGGTCAATGAGATGTGCCAGCTGACATTATCGAGTTTGTCACTCACTTTACAAAAACAATCAAAAAACATGTCTTGAGAGTCCACACACTCTCTGCATCATGTAGCCTAGACCTCTGCCCATGCACACTCAGAGTGCACACATGTACATGGACACTGCACCACAAGTGAAGCTGCCTAAAAATGCATTAGCTTAGTTAGTTATAAATGAGTGAACAAACAGCACCAAGAAATATACGAACAAAATACGAAAACTAAAGCCCTACAAATCTACGTCATTAATTTAATTGACAAGAGGTGGATCATCCTCTGGGCCCCGCTCTCTTTCTCTCTCACAAACACAACAACCAGGATGATGGGCCATTTGTAGACAGCTCCTCCTCTCTGTGTTTGTTTTTTAACACAACACTGTCAATTTCTAATGCTATTCCTGCAGCAAGCTAGTAAGGTAAGATAAGGTTTGAATACAGCTGTTGCCGAGGTCAGCAGAAGTAAAGTGCAATATCAGTACTGTTAAAAATTTTTGTGATGCCCACATGGATGATCAGTTTAGTGTGAGGAAGCAACTACTGAACTTCTCCAGATATGAAACAAAGAGCACATCAAACTACAACTGTCTATAATGCACAAACACAATGAGGGTTTCCTTTGGTTTTCAGCTCATATGAGAGTGAGGGGCTTCATTAGGACCCCATTGCCATGCTGCATCAAAGTGAAAAAAGCTACATTAAAAGCACTTTACCACACGCAATAAAAAGAGATAAAGTAGAAAATCGTTTCACGTAAAAGCCATATGTGAAAGCAGTAAAGGTCAGAGCTCCAGAGTCACTACAGTATGAACAGAACGAGGACTGAGGCCCCTTAAGTCCTCTTTCAAATGTACTCACATTGTGATCACAATAAGAGTCCCTTTTTTGTTTGTCCCCTTTTTGGTTCATTTAAAAGGGATCAAGTATGAAAACACCCTAAAAGACTGTGACCTGAAGCTGTACAGTAGGAACTCAAAAAAACTACACCATCAACAGTTCACTGAAGTCAAAGCTCTAGACCTTGGTTCAGATTAAACAAAAGAAGGAAACAAAAGACTTTTTCAACTTAGTGAAGAAACCAAAACAGCTTCAACAACACAAGGTGGGAGGCAAAATAATAATAATAATTTTAACGCAATAAAGAATAAATGCCTCACTGTAAATTAAGTCTAAATTCTAAACCCACAGAACATCTGTCATGTTATCTGTCTTGACTACAAGGATGTACACGCAGAAATAAAACCACAGACAGGCAGAGCTTCAGTTACACACTCTCAGCACGATACACACAAAGCATAAACCATCTATCTCTTCTTGTAGTTTAGAATAATCAAAATACTGTACATTCAACCCACTGTGTATACGTATGTGTATGTGGCCAGTGCTGAGCAGATAGGAACAAAATGACAAAGAGGAAGGCAGATCCGTACATCTCAGCTGGCAAGTGAAAGAAAGAGAGAATGAAAGAGCAGAGATGCTATGGTACGGCGAGGCGCAGTCAGAGGGAGAGAGCAGGATCACTGTTCTATTCATCTCCACACAGATACTAATATTAGATAAACTGCTTGTGTGTGTTTTAAGCTGTGACTGAAGGCATCCCATCCCAGACAACATGTGTGTGTGTGTTGTATTCCTGTGTGTAAGAGAGATGACACATGATACCTACTGTCGGAAATATGAATCACTTCTCATCACTGGCTGGTTGTTGAAACCAGCAAGACAGAATGACTCTTTACATTAACACACTTTTTTGCCAACTTTATGCTGGAGTTACTGACTTCCCTAAAATCCAACAGATGTTATTGATCATCTATTCAATAGAAATATGCAGATCAAAACATTAATGTATGATCCTGAGTAATTTCGATTTTTGGTTTTCAGTCATTGTGTTTTTCTATGTGCGCACGGCTCAAAAAATAGTAGAAGCTTACTGGCAGAGTCTACACATTGCAGCTGATCAATGTGTAGAATTTAAGTACACTCAAAGGAATTTAACAGCACATTTCCATGTTTACTTTCAGTTATACTCAGGGACAAGCTTTGGACATAATCAATATTTATTTAGAAAGCAGTAGGAGCCTCAAGCTGATGTCATGTCTGCTCTGAGGTCATGACTTAGATGTGCACATGTTAAAAAAAATCAAATGAACATACTTACTGGTTAATCAACAGTCTGCATACTGTATACAACAATTTAAAAGATTTTGGGGTTTTTTTGGTCCTCACTCAAAAAAGTTTAAGCTACTTAAATCCCTTTCAGACTGAAGTGAAGGGCTGGTAGGCTGTGTGTGTGGAAAAGCACGGATAGGAAACGTGCGGGGAAGTCTACTTGGACATTACCCTTCCCAACAGCCGACATAACCTCATGGGTTCCCTGCATTGCTTTTCCACTGTATTTTTCACTGTGTTGGTCTGTTTAGAGGAGGGAGGGGCTGTGCTCCTCTCTTTCTCTCTCTCCCTCACACAGACACACCCACACTCAGCCATGTGTGTGAGAGCAGAGGGTGTGAAGGATCACTCCATAGCACAACAATCAGCTAGTTTATCAAACAGCTGTTGAACAAGCAGAACACAAATTTAGAATCTAATAGGCTGGTATTGTATTGTATCGAGCTGCAGGCTGTTCCACAGGCACCACTAAGCAACGCACCGGATCACAGTCCTGTATCCATCCTGCACTCGGTCAGTGATGCATCCAACAACAGAAACTTTCTGCAGGTGACAGTGTGCAGGGATGTAGGTGAAGCTCAATATATAGAGGCAGAACAGGAAAGGAGCCGCTGGTTTTCCTTTCTTTGTATGACAGTAAAACTACTATCTTTGGGGTTTTGGACTCTTTGTTGGACAAAACTAGCAATTTGAAGATCACGCTGGACTCTGGGAAACTATGATGGACATCTTTCACTTTTTTTCTTACATTTCATAGACCAAACAATTTATTAGTTAATTATTTAGGCTCATTAAAGTGATCACATTCTAGTTTTGGATGCATGTGAAACTACTCTGTTTCGATAAGTGTGACTGATAAGTGTTCGTGCTGTTTTTCTGCTGGATTAGTGCAGCTGCTGAACATTTTTGGCTTAACTCAACAGGGAATATCCCTGTTGGACTGCAGTACATCTGAGACCTTTGTTATTTGTCTGACAGCCCATGGGTGCATGTCTCTCTATGAAAAAAAGTGTCCTTAGCATGCATGTGGATGCACACGCCTCCTAGCCTGGATGTAAGAGTGTGTAGCTAGCTGCAGGCCCTCTCTTCACAGAGCTCATCTGATCAGCTCCTGGCAGCTCTGAGTAAATTCTGGGTTTAAAAATCAGGTGGTTTCACAGTGGTAACTTCTCAATTGTCCAGCAGCACAGAGATGCACATACTCCCAGGTTAGCTGAAATTTTGGTGTTTTGCTGGGGTGCTGTTGATTACAGCATGGCAAGCCAACTGACAGTACACTCACTGTCTGCAGGTAGGGTTGTTTTACTGTATGGCATCAGCAGCGGGACAGAACAAGATTGTCAGTTGCTGAGTGAGGAAAAAGCAACAGAATACAAAGCCAACATAAAGCTTACTTAATGTGTGTGTTTCACTGAATTCATCAATTCTGGCCAGAAAAGGGATTGTAGGCTACATTTATTATTTTGACAGAGAATATCATGCAAACAAATTTCTCTAGAGACAGCTTCTCTAGTGTGAGAGGCTGCTGCTTTTCTGTGTTTTGTTTCATTATAAAGTGGACAGTTTGACTTGTGGCTGCTAATTAAAAAAAATCTAATTCATGGACTCTCAAAACTTGTGATGGGTATTTTTTGCCATTTCAGACACATTGCTAAACCAGAATTTGAGGAACAACACTTGTTGATAGCTGACTGCCTAGCAGTCCGAGTCTGTGGCTGCTTAACTGACTGTTTATCCATCTGGTTGATGGGATGACATATGTTGAAGTGTTACATTTCACTCAAAACAGCTCTATCAGAAATGACTGATAAATTAGTACAGTGTTCCAGTTTGTACCACTTAAGAACACAAACACACAAACAGCACTACAGAACTGATGGGTTGTTGCAAAAGGAGCACAACCAGTTATTTTCTTTTGTCGGTTGCAGGAGGCAAAACAGCAAAAACACATGATTTGGTTTTATGTTGTGTGTGCATGCATGCCTACTTTCTG